TATTACGTATTTATTTAGCATAGTAATAAGTTAAGATTCTTTAATTAATTATTAGTTATAGCTATAGCTATCTAGAAATAGAGATTAGATAGCCTTTAAGTAATATAGTAAAGCTAAGTAAGTATTTAGGAATATACTTCTACTATAGTATAATATAGTATAACTTTATAGCGTTGTATTTATATCTTATTATTACTAAAGCTGTTATATTAGTAGCCTTAAGTAATACTTAGTAAGCAAAACAAATAAGCTTATTAGACTAAAGAGATATTAGATTATTATTAAAAAGCTAGATTAAATTAATATACTATAGTACCTGAAAAAAAAGGTTTATAGAGCTTTATAACATACTAAAGTTTTAGACTTAATAGGGAGACGTTTTAACATATATGATATACTTATACTTCTAGAATTGTTACTGCTAAACATTACTACTAGATCTTGACTCCTAGTTATAATATATTTATATCTATAAACCATTATCTTTAAGTCTTAAATATTAGTATAGCTATTGCTTATAGCAATTTCATCTCTTATATAATATGTAATATAGTAGTTATCCTTACTAGTACATTATGTATTTTAGAGTACATAATATTAAACTAAGGATTTAATTTTATATTTACTATATGCTAGACTAATTAAAAGACCTAAAACTAGTATTCTGTTTTACACTTAAAGTTAATAAGTATTCTTATATATTACTACTAGTAAAATCTATTAGAGATAATTATAACTTACTTCTTATTAAGTAGTAGGAATACAGTAGTTTATAATAAAAGGTATTATACTTTTATAACATAAAATTAAAAGCTAATAACTTATAGTAACTGAAGAAGAAATATCTTAACAGTATATCTAGCTAAAACAAATTGTATATTATTTAAGTTTTTTCTAAGCTTTTAGATAAAGATTATAAACTTCTTCAATTACTTATAAGTAAAGCTAGTTAACTATTATAAGTACTTTTTCTCTTTACTTATATTTCTACTTATACTTTTTTTTTTAATTTCTTTTTTCTTTCTTTTCTTTTTTAATTATCAAGCGTCTAGAAGCTTCTACCTTTATAAGTATACTATTATCCTATTATACTCTTATAATTTTAGCTGTATTAAGTATATTACTCTTTGCTTATAATCTATAGCAAATTAATACTAGAAAGTAGTTTTTTTTCGTTTTTTTGTCTATAGAACGTTGTAAAAGCAATTTAAACTCAAGCTCTATATTGTAGCTTTTTGATTATAGCACTATATTATATTATAGGTTACTAGCGCGTTACAATTATGTGTAACCTAGCACTTATAATATTACTTATAATACTATATAGGTATAAAAACCTTTTAAAATAGTGTTAAGATTAGTTATATTATATATATTTACCTGCCTATTTTGCAAAAGCTAATACTATAAAATATAGGTAAGTTTAAAGACTAATAATATTTTCGCATTTCTATAGTTTAGTAGAGATTTATTTCTTTTTAATTTATTATTAGTTATAATTATAGCTGTCTAAAAGAAGACTATTAAAGACTTTTTAGTAACTTCTAGTAAGTCTATTAAACTTAAAAAGAAAGAGCTTATTAAACTAAAGAGTTATAATATTATAATTACTAAGTTATATCAGACAAATAATTGATAGGACTTAAAGAGAGCTTATAGAACTTTAGAATATAAGACTTAATAAGTAGATACTTTAAAGTATAGAATATACCTATACCTCTAAGATTATTAGCGCTAGATATTACTATTTTGTTCATAATTAGTCTATATTTATATCTATAATTATATTCTTAGTTATTAGCTATTATACCTATATCTACTCTCTTATAATAGCTATTACTTAAATAAATTTCTACTCTAATACTATTTTTAATATATTATTTATACTTTACTAGTAGTTTATATAATTAGAGGTATAGAATACTAAAAGAACGCTTTAAATTTATACTTACTATATTCTAGACTTATAGAAAAGCTTAATATTAGTAATTTTACTTAGCTTTCTAGCATATAAGCTTTCTCATACGTTACTACTAGCTAAAGCTGTTAGGAAAAAAAACCTTATCAACTACTAAGTAGTAAAAACGTAGTTATTTATAATAAGAGTTATTATACTTCTACGTAATAAAGTAAAAAACTAATAACTTATAGCTATAAAAGAAAAAGAATTTTAAGCATACTTACATAGTAGAGAATAATAGCTTATAGTTTTAGTTCTTTTTAAATCTCTAAAACTAAGTTAGAGATTTTTTTAAATTACCTTCAAATAAAGCTACTCTATTATTATAAGTTCTTTTTATTTTTATCTTTATTCTTATTTTTTTCTAACTTCCTAATTAAATTAACTAATTACACGCGTATATATAAATTAAGAAAGCTCTAGAAATATCTTATTTAAGTAGGTTAAATATATTAAATAAGTACATAGTAGAAGACTGGAGATAGAAGAAGAAAAGTAGTATTAGAGACTAGTATAGTTAAGCTGTTATCTATCTAAGCGTTCTATGTAGAAAGAGATAAGTAGTACTTATAGTATTAATATAGATATATTAGGAATAAAGTAGAATAGTATTATATATAATTCTAATAGTATAATATAAAAGGCCTATACTCTAGGCGCTAAGCGTTAAGCGCTACCTCTAGCATAATTATTGTTTTTATACCTGCAAAGACATTAGTAGCAATAAAGCTGTAATAGATTTAATATAGATAAAGCAAGTAAGTATACGCAAGTATAGAGTATAAGAAAAGTACAACGAATAAAAGATAGGATAAGTAGATAGTAGAATATTTTAAGTAGTAATAAGTTATAGAATATTTCTAAGTATAAAGTAAAGTAGACTATATATAAAAAAATAAAGAAATTATATATTCTAGTATAATTAAGAGGAATAGTAATACTAGATAATGTTTATAATAGCTTAAAGATATAGTATTAAGAGTTTCCTAAGTAGTAAGCGCTAAGTATAAGTTCTTAACTACTATGCTTAGTATTAATACAACTATACTAATAGAAAACTAAGTAATACTAAAGCTCTAGTTCTAGTAATTTTTAAATTAAATATTATAACTTATATTAATAATTTAATAACATAGAGATAGAATACTAGAATATTAATCTATTCTATATCTAAAGTAAATATATAAAATCTAGAGTTTTACTGAGTAATAAGAAAAGTACAGCTAGAGTAATTATAGGGTACGTTTATTATCGCAAAGTAAATAAGAATAAGAACAAAACTAGCGTTAAGATTTATTTATTAGTAAAACTAGATCTAACAAGCAAGTAGTATAAACATTTTAAAATATAGTTATTTGCAAAAGTTTATAGTATATCTATTCTATTAAGTGATTAAAAAAGGTAAAATATATATTAGTTAATATATCTAAGATAATACTATTCTAGCTCGTATAAGGGTAGTGCGAACAAAGAGAACTCTAAGGACAAACAGTTTCTTACTAAGTTTGTTCTTAAGCTCTTCTAGACTTAACCTAAATAAGTTAACTAACTATATATAAGCCTATACTTAGTGATTAAGATTACTCTTCAGGTAGTTTATATAAAGCCTTACTTAAATCTTGCTATATTAATAAGTAGCTATTAGCGTACTAGGTATAGTTGTTGTTATTATTATTGTTGTTATTATTATTATTGTTATTATTAAGCTAGTTGGCCGACAGGGTTGAGATGAGATGGGAATAGGTAGGAGCGTAGGAAAGTGTACAATTGATATACAAAAAGTCGGAGATATAGCGTCGCCGCAGCTCCCGGTTACACCTACATTATGCTGTCTACCCAACGCCGAACCCATGCATGCGATCAGATTAAGAAAGGCCCATCGTACGCTCCATCCTCTTCCTGCAGTCGTACTTGTTCGAGCGACGGGACCGTGTTGGGCTTGTAGAAGCCCAGGAGCATCTCCATATCTTCTTCGGTCATGGCGCAAAGGTCGTCGAGCGAATACTGTTCGCAAACTTTTGACATCCTACAGATTCTGAGTCAGCTTGTGTCTTCAGGATGCGATGGAGATGACGCACCACTGCATCCGCTTTGGACCCTCCTCGATGTTGGGAGCGACCTTTCGCAGCTTCCTTCGCAGCATGCCGACTCTTTGCACGGCGTTGCCGATGTTGTATGGGAGTCCGGCTGCTATCTGCCTCCTTACGATGTTGGCTAGCTTGGGACCGTTGCCGTTTGTGCTGACCATGATCTGCAATGGCCCGTCGCGGTGGACGCTGCCAAAGTAGAAGTCGCACTCGGGTGGCACGTCGGCAATGTTGGCTGCTATCCGCCTCTCCTTGCACAGCTTGTATATCTGCGACGAGGCTTCCGGGTCGTCGACGGCCGTCAGGACCATGTCGACGCCATCGAGATCCTGGGGCTCGAACTTGCGGTCCACATAGTCAACCTGGCCCTGTTCGATTCGGTAGGCGACTTCTTCGTTGAGGCCGTCGCGCGGAGAGACGACGGTGATTTTGGCGTCGGCATTGAGCACGTTGACGATGCGACCAGCGGCGACCTAGACTTTTGTCAACCGTCAATACTTTGTAGGGACCCATGAGGCCTGTGACATACCTCGCCGCCGCCGACTACCAGGACGCGTTTATTGCGGATCTGCCATGCCAAAATCAACGAGCCGCCGCCTTGGATCTCTGGGTAGGGTCCTTTCATGGTGCGGAGAGTGTTGCGGAGAAGGAGGAGGCAGGCCGGAGATAGCCATGTCGACTGTTCCGCGTCATTGCCAAGGCCGTGCAGAAGAGGACGCGCCGGGCTGGCCTGTATATAGAGTTTTTCTCATCGCATGTGATTACTCGTCAGAGTCAAATCACGCAATGCTTCCCACCCTGCCGGCCACTAGCAATGTCTCCATTGTGCGACTGCGACGACGGAACGGACATGCATCCTTAGCGTGCCCTGTAACGGCGCGCCCAAGACCCACGCCTCTAGCCTACCCATCCTGGCCCATGTACTTTCACGACTCCACAAGACACTCCCGAATATGACCTCCCGCAGGTCTCTGGGCGGCGGTCGCGTACTGGGGAGCGGGAGGAACCTGTCGCCCGCTGCGCCACCTCCGCAGCCAACAGCAACTGCACCTGCCCATCGCCGCAATGCGAGCCTGCTATCGCCCTCGGAGAGCTCGGTGTCGCTGAGCTCGCAGACGTCCATCAGCCCAGCCAGCACCCATGAGACCCGGGAGGACATCAGCAGCAAGGTGCTGATTGGGCCGACTGAAAATGCGGCGGCGAGCGCGTCCAGTAGACTCGTGTGCCCGATATGTAATGAGGAAATGGTGGGTTCATGGCACCTGCCGAGTATGTACAGTGATTCTGACGTAGCAGGTAACATTACTCCAACTCAACCGGTACTACTCCCTCATACCAGCTCACCATGCTATTCCTGACTAGTGTTATTAGACATCTCGACGACAACCACCAGAACCTGGTAGTCGAGGAGCAGGATGAGGTCAAGAACTGGTTCGAGGCGCAGATGCACAAGGCGAAGAAGTTCCAGCCCCTCGCCGTCCTGAACCAGAAGCTCAAAGGACTCGACGTCTTCGAATCCAACGATGCCCCTACGCCCCCTCAAATCTCCCACTCCGCCAGCAGCTCGACCGCCCACGCTGCCTACGAACCCGCACCCGTGCGCCGAGACCCGGAGGAGGAAGTCACGCGAGCACATTGGCAGAGGCCGGGATACCGCGATGTGTGTTCAGATCCCGTCTGCGCAAGACCCATCACCGCATCACAAATGGCACTGGGTGGGAATCAGCCAGCAGTGAACTGCAGGCAGTGTGGAAGGCTGTTCTGCGAGGAACACACTATGTACCAGATGAAGCTGTCGCGGCAGGCTAAGCACGACCCCGTCAGAGGCATCTGGTGTCGAGTGTGTGAGACATGCTACAAGTCAAGAGACGGCTACAACGACCACCACGGTGTCGAGCGCGACCACTTCGACGACTTCGCCAAGATCAGACGGAAACGGGTGGACAGGGAGCGCATGGAGGTTAGCAGGCTTGAGAAGCGCCTTACAAAGTTGACGCAGCTCCTCGCAGACCCACCACCGATAGAGGAGACACCGACTACCGGGGGCTGGTTCTCCTCACTGGCGGGCGTCAAGAACCAACGGAAGGCTCTGGAGCAATCCATCATCACTTGGCAGGAAGATGCTAAAGTATCCAACTGCCCCTTCTGTCAACAGGAATTTTCGACATATACCTTCAGGAGATCCCATTGTCGCTTGTGTGGACGCGTAGTATGCAGCGACCCGAAGACTAGCTGCTCCTCGGAGGTAGGCCTTAATGTCGACGCCAGCGCGCAAAAGACCGAGAAGGATGCTGCTCAAATGAGTATCGACGTGCGAATGTGCAAAGATTGCCAGCACACGTTGTTCGCTAGAGGCGACTTTGAACGCGAACTAGCCGACAAGCCCAAGGACCAGCGCGCATATGAGAACCTTGCTCAGTTCGAAAGAGGCATTCGACTACTTCTTCCACGCTTCCACAAGCTTTTGCAAGCGTTGCAGGATCCAGACAAGTCGCCTACGCCGCAGCAGTTGACCGACGCAACCAAGGTACGGAAGCGTTTGATGGATGGCTTCGCACAATTCGATGTGGCTGCGAAACGAATACGAGACCTACCTACAGATTCGCCGACACAACAGAAGCTACAGCGAGCAGTATACCAACAAGCTTACAGCTTCCTAAGCTTGCACATGTTGCCCTTACGGTCGTTACCGAAGATCCTAAAGCATGCTGCCCCGCAAGGCCGATCGAACGGAGGCAGTGCTCTCGCCTCTATCAAGTACAACGACCGCTCTGCCGGCAGTGTCGTGAGCAGTAGCGAGGTTTCCGCAATGGAATCAGAAGAGAAGGAGCTGAGGGAACGACTGATTGTGCTTGAGGAACAGAAGTTTATGGTGTCAGAGATGGTTGCCGACGCTACCAAACACCGAAGATTTGACGAAGTTTCCAGTCTTGCGCAGAACCTGGAAGATTTGAACAAAGAGATTGACCAAATCAATGGCCAACTTGGACAATTGGACTTTGCCAGTGCGTACAATGGAGGGATGGCTAGTCCACAGCCTGGGTGAACGGCTCCAGGGATGTAGCCTTCCAGAACCTTGACTGGCCCTATTACAGGGCATGGTCACAATATCGGTTTTTCATGGCGCCGCTACGGACCGATGAACTCCACAGGCGATAAACGCAGGAGTCACCTCACTGGGACAAGAGCCTGTCGTTGTGACCTACCATGGGTCACTATTCCAACGACCTGCATGCATATCTCAGATGTTGTGCACGCCCCGGGCGATGGCCTCCAGGCCGGTAACAGAGGTGACAGGTTCTCAAAGGAGAACGGCGTTGTAGGGATTCGGGCGGGACATGTCGGGCCTTTTGTGAGCACCACGTCTCACATTATATCCATAATAGTATACGTAGCAGAAGAATGAAAGGGCTACCACCTGTGCACTTACGATTCCTCGCGATAAGAGCTATACAATATTGCAATTTCCCATGTTCTCGATGCTGTGATTTTTTCGATGATGCTCCAGCCTACCCAATCACAACATCACGCGTTGCCTCCGTCTGTCATCTAGCATCCAACTAACCTCGACCACAACCACTTACTTCCGACGTCACATACCACCAACGTCACTACAATCACGAACCTCGTCGTCATCCCCGTCATTTCTATCCACATTCCCAATCCAGTAACTCTCCAAACAAAGTGTTGAAAACGGTGCCAACTTTTGCTAGCCCAACTGTTGCAACTTGACTCGCCACTGCCAACTTTGCCAACCTACTTTCGGCACGTCATTGCTCGATTAGGATATGTACGGGCCGTGCGCGGGCCCGATTCGGGTAATTAGGCTCCACAGGGGAATGTATTAGGAAGGGATTGAATGGTACTAACAAGTTTTGGGATATGTGGGCGCGATGGCCGGGAAGGAGTTGTTGTAGGGCTGAATTGTGGGGATCGGGGGAATGGTAGTGGGTGAAGTTCCGAAAACTGGCCGGCATCGCATCTCGCTGGTCTCGAAAGTGGTGACTGCCTTATTGTTGCCTTTTACAACTTGGGCTCGCAAGTGATTGTTTATATTCAAGCCGGAGACGCGCAGAGCGACGAAGGCATGAGTGGGCCAAGCAAAAAGGTCATTGTAGTCTACGCTAGCAATGCGCCTTGTTCGTGGCTGAAGACAACGCTCGCATTCTTCTCAGATGCATCGAAATTTGAGGACTAGGGAAGCAACGAATCGGAAGTGAACTTCTGGAAGATAATTTCGAGAGAATACGGTTGGTTTAGTCTGTCGTTCAAGGCTTCTGGGGTTACATACGACCTCAGAAATGAGATTTCATGTTTTTTTATTCCAAGTCAGCATAGTGCTCTTGTCCACACTCAGTACGCCTCTAATCTCCACCATCGGTTACGCTGCTGTGCCCAGCTTCGCCCATCTCAGCTCGGTCATCACTAGTCGTTCTCCGGCGAACACCCGTACTGACCGAGTGACCAGGCTTCGGATGCTCGTTGTGTTCGACCAACGGGAAATGCAGAGCAGGCTTAGTCGCCAACGCGTCCCTAATCTCATCAACACTCTTCGCCGCCCATTCTGCACTACCCACGTTGCTCAATGGATAAAGAAGCTGGTTGTCCGGGTGCATAACCACTTGCTCGATGCTGGGCGCTGCTTTACTCATGATGATATCCACATCCTTCCTGATCTGCAGGCAGAATGCATCTAGCGGCAAGTCATTCACATCAGTACCGAAGGGATTTTCAATCTCGCGACCGATGAGCGCGATGCCTAGGATAATGTAGGCTGCAAAGACGCTTGCGGGGATCGTGATGTATCCCAGGAGCTTGTATAGTTGGAAGGGCAGAAGAAGGATATACACCCAAGTCTAGAGGTAAGCGTATAAAGTTAGTATATGCCTCACATGCAGTTCGTACAGAGACACTTACGATTTGGCTGATGGCAATGCTATACGCCAAGGGGAGCGGAGTGGAAAGGATGCGCTCAGTCCCCGCAAGCACATCATTGAAGCTTGTGAGCGCGTTGAGAGATTGCGTTTGGTAAATGGAAACTTTGAAGGTGCCATTGTCGTAGATCGACTTCATGTAGACACTCAGGTGGTTGAGGATCTCCAGAGGAAGGTTGCCAAGTGGCACACGCGAGCGCTTCAGCAATTTGCGTGGGTTTGATTCGGCCATGGGTAGCCCGAGGAACTGTCCTGCCGTCTTAAATATACCCGGTTTATTGGCTTCTGGCTGATCAGCATCGCGCGCGAAGGTGTCCAAGTGGCCGACCAGGTGCTTTAGGTCATCGTAATGGACGCCAGGCTCGAACCGGAGCTTGTGCTTGAGTGCGACCGCATACGCGGCGATCAAGTTGAGACAATTGATCTTGGCAAGAAGATCTTGTTTACCGAGCTCAGCGTCTTTTTCATGCCGTTCATCGACATGAATCCAGATAAGGCGAGCAAGGTTCTGGGATTGGAAAGCGAGTTGTGCCCAGTATTTACGGCCGTCATTGTATCGCTCGTAGGCAGTGGAGCTTCTGAAGCTTAGTGCCAGACCGACGACAAAACCAAGAACGGTAAGCAGGAGCTGATTCACACTAACTGGAGGAAATCAATACATGATACATGCTAGAAGAGTAGGTGTGACACATACGGTCGTGGACAAACTTCGATATCAGCGTAATCATGGTTGCCCAGCCAGCTACAAAGAGCAGAGGCAGCACCATTTCTGGTGTAACACTGCCGTGGACGCGGAGGAAGACAGGCCATTTCGAATGGTGATCGAGGTCGCGCGGGCCAACCTGATTTCTGTTAGTGACTACACAAGTCGTTATCAATAAAGATATACAAAATAATCATCAAAGTCCTTGTCACTATCTTGCTTTTTTAGTGGCGGCCTGGCCGATGCACCATTCGTGCCGTTCGACACGTTTGCCGTGCTTTGCATCTTCTCCGCCATCACGAGGTATCGTCGCCTGCGAAAAAGATAGAAATGAAGGTCGAGCTTAACGATTTTTCGCGTTCAAGGTTGCGACACGCGAGCACTTCATATCGTGTCGCGTGCCCCTATCCCTGACCGTTTCTCCTGCATTCCACCAACCTATCAAAGTCTGGAATCTAGGTCTGGCGTTTACAATCTCTGGGTGGCGCCGTGCGTCAGTTATGGCGATGCTGTAAATGGCAAGGCTAGAATACGTGACTCCAATCGAACGCGCTCACGTAGCGGGAATGGTGAAGCATAGCCTCTATTAAGATGCTTCCCGTCTTGGCAGGGTCTCTCTGCGGGCTTACTCTCTGTGCGATGCGGGATGGAGATGAGTAGCTGAGCCGTGATTGCTTTTCCCTCGGCGAGTTATTGTTCTTGCCGTACGAACGAGACCTCTGTGCGACTTAGTACAGCATGTACCGAACCCTATCAAATGCAGCACCACGATGTGTAAAAGCTGCCAAATTTGCCTGGATGCCTGTGCGTAGTTCACAAATGGTGGTTTTAGATAGGTGTCGGTGACCAGATAATCAGCGCATAGATTGGATCGTCGACTAAGACAAACCGTAATTCGCCTGCGATTCAAGCTTCAGATGTATGGATCAGGGACAAGGCCCAGAACAGGTCAAGCTTCAGCTGTGCGAAAAGGTCGAGATCTTGTTCTACGACTTGGCAACATTGGCACTGGCTCAGCTAGCAGACACCGCCACAATCACAACTCATTGGTTGTTGGTTCCAGCCACTGTGGCCGTGTACTCAACGCGCTTGGCATGGAACGGACGCGGACGATCAGGGCTGAATGTGTGGGGTTGGGAGATGTGCTCATCTTGGGGTAAGGATCGGCGATGAACGTCAATATCTGGTATCACGGCCAGCATCCTATACACCAATACCGACCTTCTGATGTTTACCAAGGTAGTGTGATGTGAAAGAACATTTGGGTTGGGTCTTCGATACTAAGGGTTCATGGTATGATAAAGGTTGCCAATCGGGAAACCTCATTCATTATCTATATACAGCTTCACGGACGTTCGTAGATTTCAGCCAATTCTTGTCTCTCCTTGGCCTACCCTTGTATTAACTTTATTCATTTTGATCACCTAACCGCCTGTTTTCATCCTTCCTCTTCTCGCTTGATCTCCACTTACTCAAACCCCACTTGTCCTTCTTCGCCTCGGATTTATGTTGACGTTCCTTGATCTCTGCTATTCGACTCGTTATCTCTCTGCCCTTCTCGCCTAGGCATTTCGCTCTGGCCAGAAAAGCCTCGCCTTTTGAAGGCACTGGTGCTGGCGTTGGGGTGGGAGCAGACACTGCAGGGAAGACGGTTGGGGCCGGCATTGTTTGTGGAGGCATATTCTCTTCTCCCCCTGGTTGTTCCGGTTGTGCCCACGGATTGAGAGCTGGGAAAAGCTCTAGTACCGCGTCTGCTTGTGGTTCCAGAAATCGGGGTGCGGGACTACTTTGAACACTCCATTGCCTGTCAGACGAGTCTGATTTCAAGCCAGGTACTGACTTCTGACCGCTCCTAATATTGTCGACTTTGTTGATATGGGAGGCGGGTTCGACGGAGGCGTAAACGGCTCTTCCAATGGAAGCATGCTCGGAATCCGAGAGGGAAGAGAGACTGGTCGTGGTGGAGTGGGAAGATGGAGCTGGTGGTACGACCCGAGGCGGCTCACGACCTTTATTCTGGGTGTCGTGGGTGGAGTGTGGGTGATGGGCTGGTACCAGAAAAGATGGTGTTGAGGCCGTGGGATGGTTGCTGAGGGGGATGGGGGATTGGCTATCCTCCTGATTGTGTGTTCGACTTTCTGCATCGTAGCTGGTACTATCATGACGAGAATGGTCATGTACTTGTTGGAGGATGATGGGATCTTGTAGGCTGAATTGCGCGTACTCCCGAAGTGCGGAGTCCTGGTCTGATTGTAGCTCAATGAGCAAGTCGCGGCGCGAACGGCGATCTTGAAACGAAGCTACATTACCTCTTTCATGATGGGACTTCAACATCGAATGAGAGGGCGATGGAGCGGCGGATCGACATAGACTCCTTGGCTCTTCCTCCAGACACTGTCCATCGTCACG